CAAAAGCGTGACATCAAATCCTATGTCCCGATCGATTCGTACAGAAGTTTCAATGCGCCGCCTGTTCGGAAAGGATTCCCCGTGACATGAGCGAGCGTCACTACGCGAAGCATGCCGGCCATACCTATCGGGTTGATATCGATCCAGTGATCGATCTGTACGACGAAACTACTGCCACGGCGATTGTAATCCGCTCCATGAAAGTGCAGCGGCAAGTGACGATCTACTGCGACAAATGCAACGTGCCTAAGAAATCGGCTTTCAGATTAGTATTCCACCGGTTGGTTTGGCAAACACGAAGTGGTGAGCCAATTTAAAATCGTTAGTTTCGTATTGATTGTTGGTATTACCAACATACCAACACTGGTACACTGGTATTACCTGGTTACCTCTATGGTATTATAGTCCTATAGTCCACACTTTTACTGTAGGGCTTTACGCATACACGCAGAAAAAACTGGTCCTCATACCGGCCTCTTTCTAAGTTTAGTGTTCGGGGATGATCTGTTTTTCTTTCGACGTCGGGTGGGGGGTGAGGATGATATGGGGATCGGTATCAGAAACGACGGATTGCCGTTAATATTGTGATGTTCCACCGGTTTTGTCGAGCTTGGAACACTTGCTTGCGTGGGTTTCCGGACCCTCTACTTCGGTTTCGCCGCTTGCAGGCTGTTTTCGGTTAAGTTTGCCGAATGTAAACCTGGGGGGGAGGACGTGCTGTCAAATCAGCCTACTGATCATTCTTGTATGAAACTGGTTCCAAACGTAAACAAACGCTGTAGGTTTCTTATGGCTTGTTTACGTTTGGAACCAGTTATGCGAGGTAGGCGACGATTGTTCGTATTTGACAGCCACTCCCCCCCTTGATGTAAACAAGAAAGAAAAAAGGACACGCTAAAAATTGATTACCCAGATTATGTATTGTTGAAATAAACATGCTTTTGAATTTAATTTAAACATACATATTTTTGTAGAAAACATGTTTTTAATTTCCCTTGAACTATTCATATTTTTATTTAATAAACATATATATTTTTAACTTAAATGAACAAAATTTGGTTCCGTGTAGTATGTATGTAGTATCATGATGAACATCTTGAAGGGCGCGAGGGTGAAGTTGTGAGAAGCTGCCGAAATACGGATAGCTGACTATTCTCGCTCATGGATCCAATTGGATGGTACCGTTTTCTGGCCGTGACTTTGAAAAATCAAATGAAAACCTTCGATTCTTTATATATATCCGAGTCATCATCATCTATGTCAGTCATCACTGCCACTAACAGCCTCAACCATAACTTCTTCATAATGTTGTTAATTTTAAAGAATAAAAATAAAAACGTATCTCCATACAGTTCACTCCGAGGCGGGTGTCGTCTAATTTTAAAATCAACAATTATCAATTTTTATGTTGTTAAAATGCATCCAAAACATCGTTTTTACAACAAACGTTAAAATTACCTAACGGAATAATTGGTCAGACCATTATTCCGCAAGGAAAATGATATTGCATTCAGAATGCGCCACCTTCATATCGATCACGATACTAATGTAATCGATCTTTTCTTTACCGATTTCTTTTGAACTGCGTACTGGGTCAAGAAATGCTAATTAAAAGAAATTTCTTTAGCATTCCGTGTCCTATCCCGTAGCACGTTAAAACGTCATTACTTTTCAGCTGCGTACCAGCATAGAGGTAACTCTAAGACTAGTAGGTCCCGAAGAAAATCATTATTATTTTTGGCTCACTCAGTACCAGAACAACGGTCCCAAGCAGTCCCAAGCTATTTCACTCACCCCTGCATGTTCTGCATGAATCCACACACCCCTGATGTTATCTGTCAAACTTTCATAGCGAATCAAAACAAACATAGTGTAGTAATAGAATTTCAACTAGAATAGGGTACGTTAATCGTTTGCTTGGGACCAATAGGCTACTAAAGTGGTGAGCCAATTTAAAATCGTTAGTTTCGTATTGATTGTTGGTACCAGGCTTTAAGCCTAGTACGCAGCTGAAAAGAAAACGGAAAAGTAATTTTTGAGGATTTTTCCCAAAAGAAAATTTGACAGCTATAGTCTGCTAAATTTTGAGATTATAGCGAGGTGTTGTCAAATTGTAAAATCAACTCTTATTAGTGTTTATGTTGTTTAAATGCATCCAAAACATCAGTTTTGCAATAAACGCCAACATTACCTAACGGAATAATTGATCAGACCATTATTCCGCAAGGAAAGTGAAATTGCATTCAGAATGCGCCACCTTCATGTCGATCACGATACTAATGTAATCGATCTTTCCTTTACCGATTTCTTTTGAACTGCGTACTGGGTCAAGAAATGCTGAGGAAAAGTAATTTCTTTTGCATTCCGTGTCCTATCCCGTAGCACGTAAAAACGTCATTACTTTTCAGCTGCGTACCAGGCTTAAAGCCTGGTACGCAGCTGAAAAGAAAACGGAAAAGTAATTTTTGAGGATTTTTCCCAAAAGAAAATTTGACAGCTATAGGCAGCTAAATTTTGAGATTATAGGGAGATGTCGTCAAATTGTAAAATCAACGCTTATTAGTGTTCATGTTGTTTAAATGCATCCAAAACATCAGTTTTGCAATAAACGCCAACATTACCTAACGGAATAATTGATCAGACCATTATTCCGCAAGGCAAGTGAAATTGCATTCGGAATGCGCCATCTTCATGTCGATCACGATACTAATGTAATCGATCTTTCCTTTACCGATTTCTTTTGAACTGCGTACTGGGTCAAGAAATGCTGAGGAAAAGTAATTTCTTTTGCATTCCGTGTCCTATCCCGTAGCACGTAAAAACGTCATTACTTTTCAGCTGCGTACCAGGCTTTAGTGGGTAAAAAATTAACCCATTATTCAACCGTGAACTGGTTCTTTAAATGGGTATTTTTTACCCATTTTATGATTTCAAAATTCCCCCATTTTTTGACAGCTGCATACATGGTTTGAAAATGGGTATTTTTTACCCATTAATGGGTTTTCACGAAACACCGTGTACAGCATTTGTTTACGTTTGGAACCAGTTTCATACAAGAATGATCAGTAGGCTGATTTGACAGCACGTCCCCCCTTCCCCCAGGTGGAAGTGGAACAGGTTCACACACTCGCAAGCCAACAAGTGAGTGCCACTGTTACCACTGATTTAGTAAATAGTTTTAATCTGAAGGGCGTATTCGTTTTATATGATAATAAGCTTCACGCAGAAAAAACCATGGTGGGTATATAATGGTGATACAGCTTTGTCACTATATAGGCGGGGAGGTCGCGGGGGGGAAAAATTCGGTTTTAGAGCAAATTGTAAACAAACTCGGTCGCTGTCCCATACAAAAATCCAACATGGCTGAATCACGAATTTGACACATTAGAACACCTATATGTAGCCACCTTGGAAAAAACTATCGTCGTAACAAAAATATTTGAGGTAAATTTTAACGTAAACTCAGTTTGTTCTGGCCACAAACATGAATTAGGTTGATTTCAAACGTATTCCATGTTTGAAGTCATGTGAAATCCATGTTTAAAATAAAAATATTGTTACGTTTATTTCAAAAATATTCGTGTTGAAAATAAACGTATTTATTTTTGTTTGGTTTGACAGCTATGCGAACAATCATAAATATGTTTATTTTAAACATGCTTCTCATGTTTAAAATAAACATACATATTTTGGAATTATTTTAGCAGGGTAAAGCAAAATAAAACCACAAATGAAGTGACAGACGACTAACTGGCGAAGAAATCAATTAAAATAATGTGGTTCGCTGTAATAGAATTTTCTTAGAAGCTTGTGCCATCATCCACCAGATGGGATATTATTTTTGTTTTAGTTTTGCACAAAGTTGATTTTGTGTACAATGATTCTTTGACAGTGTGCAAAGAGTGCGTATCATTTTGTCATTTTTTTATGCATTTCAGTTTTGAGTAGAGTGAAAGAGATAGAACCAAAACATTCTAGTACATTTGGTGAAAATGCTAGTTCAATCCAGTAGTAGCAACAATCAATACGAAACTAACGATTTTAAATTGGCTCACTACTTGACTAGCCTATTGGTCCCAAGCAAACGATTAACGTAGCCCATTCTAATCGAAATTCTATTACAACGCAATGTTTGTTTTGATTCGCTATGAAAGTTTGACAGATAAAATGAGGGGTTATTGGTTTTTCCTATGTTTCGAGGGGTGAATCGATTAACTTGGGACCGAAGATAGTACCAGAGCTGAGCCAAAAAGTTGAGCACGTTATTTCGGGACCTTCTAGTCTTATAGTACGTTCAGACTACAGAGTTATAACATGTTATAGCGCTATCTTGATGGTGCTTTCTGTGTTGCAATTATTTGACAACCGTTATAACATGTTATAACTCGCCAGTCTGGCCGGCGTTTTAGAGTTACCTCTATGGTAGTAGTGTTGCCATGTGGTACAATCCAGTAGTAGTGGTGTTGGCATGTGGTACACTGAAAAAGATTTAAATAAAATGCTCCATTTGCAAAATAAAGGCATTTTAAGATTGAACTCGTATACCTCACCGTGTAAAATTTTGAAACCATCATCACTTTCATAGTTCATCTATTCTCCACGAGTGCCAACTTTGATTTGCCAATTGCATCACTTCCCTAATAAAAAATAACCATAAACGAACGACAACCCAAAACATTGAACTATTCCACAAATGGTTTGGATGATACCCAGAACACGTCGTTAAGCAAATTAACCATACAATTTTTATTAGGGTTGCGTGTCCATTTCTATAAAAAACTCAGTTTGTCTACATTTGTCAGTTTCGGCCTTTTGAAATATTGGTACTGATTTATGAACTTGTCACTCCCAACATAATTTACCCATTTTTGAGTATGTTCAGTTTTGACGGATATGGGAGAATAATTATTCTTTGTAGTTTTAAATTAGCGTGTTTGTCTGAATAAAAATGAGAAATCTGGCATCACTGATTCATATAATCATCGGCAGAATCCTCATCCAGTGTAGAAGTCAGAATTTGTGATCAAGCAGTAAAAAGAATAGCCAAATTTTCTGAGGTGATTGCTAAATTTAATTTTGCAGATATGGCCTTGGTTAATCACATTCTCCGTCGCGCTGTTTCGCAATCGGTTATTCGAAACGCTGTGACTGGTCCTTCGGCAGTTGCTGGACATGCAAGTATGGATAAACTTGTAAATTTCGATTATTTCAAAAAGGTTATGTAACTCGCAATTTTTTCTTTTATTTTTTCTGCAAGGTGGTGGCTATAAAGTCTGGAAGAAATTATCTTTCTTTGTTGCAATTCCAGCCGTTGGTCTGTGCATGTTGAACGCTTACTTAAAACACCAGGAAGAACATGGACATCCTCGAGCGGAATTCATTCCATACGAGCATATGCGTATTCGCAACAAGCGTTTCCCATGGGGAGAAGGCCGTCGCAGTTTGTTCCATAACCCCCACGTCAATCCTCTGCCGGATGGTTATGAAGATTAAATCTGTAATCTTTCGAGCGTGTCCCAGGTAGTTCATTAAAATTAATCTGTCGCTCCAGATTCGCTGCTATGTTTTGCAAACCGTGTGCATACAGACGCACGAAATGAAGAATCTAGTTCACTCTAAAAGAAGAAAAAAGAAATCCTTTTTGGTTCGCTTTTCAGTGTAAAATGACGTATTTCAGTGCCAACATTTCAAAGGGGCGTAATTGCATTTGTAAACAATGGCTTTAGCCGTAGATTTCTCGCAAATAAAAGCTCACTCATGAAAAATAATAACACCACCAGGTAGAGGAATGTTTCCTCTACCAGCTAGCATTGTAATTTTGGAGAGGTAAGATATCATTCGCGAGAAATTGACGGCTAAAGTCATTGTTTACAAAAGCAATTACGCCCCTTTGAAATGTTGACACTGATTTCTTGAAGTTCATCACCGTTTTTCAACTAGGGTAACAGGTATAATACGCCATCCTTATACCTTGTACAGACATAGTACACTGTTGTACTTCTTTAAGCTAGTGCCTCAAATTGTACCTTTTGAGGTACTCGATTAAAGGAGTACAACGGTACTGGTTTGTATGTCTGTCAATGGTATTAAAGGAGCACAACGGTACTCAGGCCTATTCTGCGCGGCGTGTGAGGTGAGGTGACTCGCTCTCACTTGTGAAGTGACAATTGTCACCTCGGGTGAGGTGACTCTCCGTGCAAATCAAATGCAGGGTTATTCTGCGTGGCGTATGAGGTGAGACGACAATTGTCACCTCGCAGTCACATGACTCTTCTCACTCTATTCCGACAGTCGACTCGGGTGAGGTGAGAGGTTCATTCTTAGGTGAGTTGCAGAGTGACTCGGTGTTCATTCGCCGAAATGTCAGTTTGCTTTGTTTTCCGAAGAGGGCCCATGCAGTTTTTGTAGGTTCACTTGTCAGTTTAATCGCAGGTTTTTATTTTTTACTATGAACATGCGTTTCGAGTCGTATTTCATGTCAAACAAGGTAGATTAAATATTTTATTATTTTCTTAAACATAATCCGCGTTCACATGTTCGAAATCATGCATAAAAACATCATTTAAATGGATTGAAAATGTTCGGCCTGTGCTAGACCCTTTCAGTTTTGGCTGTTTGTTGTTTTCGGTTGCGGACGAAGATTTTTTTTCCAATCGTGGTTTTTTTTTTAATTAGGTTCCTTGTTCCAGTGTATTCCTCCATTTACGAACCACACCGGCGGTTCGTAAATCGAAATAGACGTAAAAAACATTATTTGCGATTTATTTCCTAAAAAGTTTTTGGAAAATTTTGTCGAATACCGCACAAAATGGGTATTTTTTGGTATCTGGGTGACGTACGGGGACCGGAAATCAACGCCTGACGTTATTTTTATTTCAATATGGCGGCTTCCGGTTAGAGAAAAGCTGGGAAGTACTGCAAAATAACCAACAACATGGGTATTTTTGGAATCTTGGTGACGTGTAGGGACTGGAAATCGATGTCTGAAGACTTTTTGAAATTCAATATGGCTGCTTCCGGTGCGAGAAAAACTTGTACATTCTGTCAAATATTCCACAATATGGGTATTTTTGGAGTCAGAGTGACGTTTGAGGACCGGAAATCGATGTCTGACGGCATTTTGACATTCAAGATGGCGGCTTCTGGTTAAAGAAAAACTTGGAAATTCGGTCAAGTACCCCTCAATGTGGGTATTTTTGGAATCCGGGTGACGTGTAGAGACCGGAAAACCATGTCTGACGTCCTTCTGAAACTCAATATGGCGGCTTCCGGTTAGTGAAAAACTGGGAAATAATGCCAAATTACCCACAATATTGGGTATTTTTGAAATCTTGGTGACGTGTAGGGACCAAAAAACCTCGCAAAAAACCATGTCTGACGCCTTTTTGAAATTCAAGATGGCGGCTTCCGGTTAGAGAAAAACTTGGAAATACTACCAAATTACCCACAATATGGGTATTCTTGGAATCGGAATGACGTGTAGGGACCGGACATCGATGTCTGAGGCCATTTTGAAATTCAAGATGGTGGCTTCCGGTTAGAGAAAACTTGGGAATTCTGTCAAATACCTCACCATATTGGTATTTTTGTTGACGGGGTGCTGTGTAAGGACCCTTAATCGATGTCTGAGGCCATTTTGAAATTCAATATGGCGGCTTCCGGTGCGAGAAAAACTTGGAAATTCTGTGAAATACCTCTCAATATGAGTATTTTTGGAGTCTTGATGACGTGTAGGGACCGGAAATCGATGTCCATCTTGAATTTCAAAACGGCCTCAGGCATCGATTTCTGGACCCTACACGTTACCAAGACTCCAAAAATACTCATACTGTGCGTAATTTGGCAGTAATTCCCAATTTTACTACAACCGGAAGCAGCCATATTGAAGTCAAAATAGCATCAGACATCGATTTCCAGTCCCTACACGTCACCCCAATTCTAAAAATACTCATATTGAGAGGTATTTGATAGAATTTTCAAGTTTTTCTCCAACCGGAAGCCACCATCTTGAATTTCCGAATGGCCTCAATATCGATGTCTTGTCCCTACACGTCAACCCGACTACAAAAATACAAGTTTTGTGGGGTATTTGGTGAAATTTCTAAGTTTTTCACTAGCCGGAAGCCACCATCTTGAATTCAAAATAGCGTCAGACATGGGTTTCCGGTCACAACACGTCACCCCAATTCCAAAAATACCCATATTGAGGGATATTTGACAGAATTTTCAAGTTTTTCTCCAACCGGAAGCCACCATCTTGAATTTCAAAATGGCCTTAGACATCGATTTCCGAACCCCACACGTCACCAAGATTCCAAAAATACTCATACTGTGGGTAATTTGGCAATAATTCTCAGTTTTTCTCCCACCGGAAGCCGCCATCTTGAATTCAAAATGGCGTCAGACATCTATTTCAGGACCCTTTACGTCACCCCAATTCTAAAAATACCTATATTGAGGGGTATTAGACATAATTTTCAAGTTTTTCTCCAACCGGAAGCCACCATCTTGAATTTCAAAACGGCCTCAGACATCGATTTCTGGACCCTACACGTTACCAAGACTCCAAAAATACTCATACTGTGGGTAATTTGGCAATAATTCCCAGTTTTTCTCCCACCGGAAGCCGCCATTTTGAATTCAAAATGGCCTCAGGCATCGATTTCCGAACCCTACACGTCACCAAGATTCCAAAAATACTCCTACTGTGGGTAATTTGGCAATAATTCCCAGTTTTTCTCCCACCGGAAGCCGCCATCTTGAATTCAAAATGGGGTCAGACATCTATTTCCGGTCCCTATACGTTACCCCAATTCTAAAAATACCCATATTGAGGGGTATTAGACATAATTTTCAAGTTTTTCTCCAACCGGAAGCCACCATCTTGAATTCAAAATGGCCTCAGACATCGATTTCCGAACCCTACACGTCACCAAGATTCCAAAAATACTCCTACTGTGGGTAATTTGGCAATAATTCCCAGTTTTTCTCCCACCGGAAGCCGCCATCTTGAATTCAAAATGGCGTCAGACATCTATTTCCGGACCCTATACGTCACCCCAATTCTAAAAATACCCATATTGAGGGGTATTAGACATAATTTTCGAATTTTTCTCCAACCGGAAGCCGCCATCTTGAATTCAAAATGGCCTCAGACATCGATTTCCGAACCCTACACGTCACCAAGATTCCAAAAATACTCCTACTGTGGGTAATTTGGCAATAATTCCCAGTTTTTCTCCCACCGGAAGCCGCCATCTTGAATTCAAAATGGCGTCAGACATCTATTTCCGGACCCTATACGCCACCCCAATTCTAAAAATACCCATATTGAGGGGTATTTGGCAGAATTTCCAAATTTTTCTCAAACCGGAAACCGCCATATTGAATTTTAAAATGGCCTCAGTCATGGGTTTCCGATTCCTACACGTCACTCCTATTCCAAAAATACCCATATTGAGGAAGCCGAAGAAACAAAAAAAAATTGATTGAAACAAATTTAGAAGTAATAAATTAACGAAAACCGCAACCATCGCTTATAGAACTCTAAGGTTTTCCTTCCAGTCGACTGCAGCGGAGGTTACGACTCTTGTCACTTAAAATCGTCACTTCAGTACGACTTTTGTCACCGAAATACGACTGTGAGAATAAGGTGAGAGTTCACCGGGTTCATCCCAAGTGACTTCTCTCACCTCACTCGCCAGCTGGAATCGGGTGACACGAGTGACTCGAGTCGTCTCACCTCATTCGCCACGCAGAATAACCCTGATGGAGAGTCACCTCACCCGAGGTGACAATTGTCACTTCACCATCACTTCACTCCCCCTAATTCTGCGAGTCACGTGACTCTCTGTCACCGGTGAGGTGACAATTGTCACCTCGTGTGAGGTGACTCTCCGTGCAAATCAAATGGAGAGTCACCTCACCGGTGACAGAGAGTCACGTGACTCGCAGAATAGGGGAGCCTGTCACTTCACCTCACACGCCGCGCAGAATAGCCCTGATTACATCAATGGGGCCCTTATTACCGGATTGTGATTATTCTGCGCGGCGTGTGAGGTGAGACGACAATTGTCACTTCACCATCACGTGACTCTTCTCACTTGATTCCGAAAGTCGACTCGGGTGCCGTGAGAGGTTCATTTGTTGGTCGGTGACAGAGTGAACCGCAAGTGATACGGCGTTCATTTCGATAATTCAGTGCCAACATTTCAAAGGGGCGTAATTGCATTTGTAAACAATGGCTTTAGCCATCGATTTCTCGCGAATAAAAGCTCACTCATGAAAAATAATGACACCATTAGGTAGAGGAATGTTTCCTCTACCAGCTAGCATTGTTATTTTGAAGAGGTAAGATTTCATTCGCGAGAAATTGATGGCTAAAGTCATTGTTTACAAAAGCAATTACGCCCCTTTGAAATGTTGGCACTGAATTGTCAAATCTGCATAGTTTTTGTGAAGGGCCTATGCGGTTTTGGTTTGCAGGAATATAAGTATTTTGTATTTTTGTGTTTTATCGACCTTAGTTACTTTTTTATGAAGAAAACAAGGAAAAATGGATCCAATTTATGTTTTAGAGCAATAATGGGAATAAAAAAGTATTTTTAAACGAATTTGCATGCTATTTCTTTTAATCCAAAATGATAATGTCAAAATTGGCCCTTGCAAGAAATCCATGGAATACCAGATCACCATTGACGAGTGCACGGATAGATTTGAGTTCACTCACTCGACAAAAAGTGACACAACAGCGGGGCCCTGTTTACTAAAAATGAACATATGTATATGTGTTCATTTTTAGTAAACAGGGCCCCGCTGTTGTGTCACTTTTTGTCGAGTGAGTGAACTCAAATCCATCCGTGCACTCGTCAATTGACGAGTGCACGGATGAACTTGCGTTCACTCACTCGACAAAAAGTGCGTCAATAGACGAGTGCACGGGTGAACTTTAGTTCATCTACTGAAATTTTTTTGACACAACAGCGGGGCCCTGTTTACTAAAAATGAACACATGAATAATGCTCGCGTAACATTTGAAAAGGGCCTATCAACTTTTGTAAATAATTTGCTAGGTCCTTTTCACGAGAACCGAAGTACGCCCACGCAAACCAAGAGCACTATCGGGAAGGGGAGAATTTCCTCTGCGAAAAAGGCTTAACAAGTTTTGTGTACATAAGTTGATAGACCCGTTTCAAATGTTACGTGAGTATTATTCATGTTTTAATTTTTAGTAAACAGGGCCCCGCTGTTGTGTCACTTTTTGTCGAGTGTGCACTCGTCAATCGGTCGATGGTTGTTCCCTCAATTTTTGCAATCAAGTACCACCATGTAAGTAACAGATGGGTCAACCATAAATGCTTCCACTGGATTTGGTGTATTTAATCAATTTCATAGCGCCTCTTTTAAACCGCAGAAACCATGCTCAGTATACGTTGCGGAACTCGCAGCTATATTTTACGCAGTAGAGCGAATTGCCTCACTACCTTCTGACCATTATTTCATTTTTACGGATAGTCTTAGCTCATTGGAGGCTATTCGTTCAATGAGGCCGATGAAGCACTCCTCGTATTTCCTGCCTGAAATACGATCTAAACTGAGTGCTTTATCTTACTGCTCCTATACTATCACCTTAGCTTGGGTCCCATCTCATTGCTCAATTCCGGGTAATGAGAAAGCGGACTCGTTGGCTAAGGTGGGCGCTATGGAAGGCGATATTTTTGAGCGACAAATCGCCTTCAACGAATTTTTCTCCATTGCTCGTCAGCAAGTCCTCATCAGTTGGCAACACAAATGGAATGATGGTGAATTGGGAAGATGGTTACATTCTATTCTCCCACAGGTGTCGAACAAACCATGGTTCAAAGGGTTGGACATGAGCCGCGACTTTATACGCGTTATATCAAGGCTTATGTCCAATCACTGCTCGTTAGACTCGCACTTCTATCGAATTGGGCTCTCAGGCAGCAATTTATGTGCGTGTGGCAGTGGTTATCACGATATCGAGCATGTTGTTTGGTCGTGTACTTTATACCGTGTTGCCAGATCTGCGTTATCCACATCCCTCAGGGCCCGAGGAAAACAACCCGCGATACCCGTTAGAGATGTCTTGGCGAGCCGAGATCTCGACTATTTGAATTTAATTTATGTGTTTTTAAAACGGATAGATCTGAGGATTTAGTAGTTAGGGTCATCTTGTGTTCTCCCAAGTTGTTAGCTGCCCATCGGTGTACCCCCATGTTTGTCTTTTTCATCAGAGTGTCGCTTAGTTCGAGATCAAGAGCACATTGCTCTCCAAACCTTGTGTTCACAATCCCTTCCCTGCCATCCATTTGTTACAATTTGTTACCCCTAACCTCGAGATAGCCGCGAGTAATCGGCCCCCGCTTTACTAACGTTAGTTTTAAGTAATTTTGTAATCTAATCAATCCGCAAAGCTATAGCAAATGAGCCTGGAAAAATAAACGCATTATAAAAAAAAAAAAAAATTGGCCCTTTGGATACTAAAGTCGAAAACTTTGTTTACATTTTTGCTGCTTTAAAACTTGGTTCTGCTTTTTAAATAATAGAATTCAACTCGAAAAACTCCATAAAACTAGTTGAAATTTATAATCTGTGATAATTAATAAGTGCTAAAACAATTTTGTATCTCGTGTGCTATAAGCTCTTTTGTATTTTGGAGTAGTGATGACGAGAGCGATGATTCTCACGTTGAAGCTGCTATGGTGCGCCTGGAACGTCGAAGATTAAGAGATATGAGCAATCCTCTTGATTTACCCCACGATGCGTAAGTTTGTTTTTGTCATAAAGTATCTAGAATAACTTCCAAATTCGTTTTGATTTCAGGTTTGTTAAATATTTTCGGATTTCAAAGAACCTCTTTAAATATTTACTCAACATAGTGGAACACAAACTAGGAGTGACCGTTGGATCTTCATCAGTGCTACCAATAACAAAACTATCGGCAGCATTAAGATTTTTTGCTGAAGGCAGTTACCAAAAAGGTGTAGGAAACGATGTGTTCGCAGGAATGGCACAACCCACATTATCGAAGACTTTGGCATCTGTGATTGATATTTTAGAAACCCAAGTTTGCCCGATGGTCATACAGTTTCCTATGCAAGATGCAGAAAAGGATGCGATAAAACTTGGATTCTACGAAAAAACTGGATTCCCAGGGGTAATAGGATGTGTCGATGGTACCCACGTAAGGATTTTTCCACCTCCTGCGGATGTTCAGCATCTTTATTATAACAGAAAAGGATTTCACAGTTTGAACGTTATGCTAGTATGTAAAACACCGCCTTGTAAGTAGTAAGGATAAATTATGATCATTTTTCTTTCTGTTCTTAACAGGTCTGTGATCATAAACAGAGGATCCGTTACGTGGATGCTAACAATCCTGGTGCTAACCATGATTCGTTCATCTGGAATAGTAATCCATTGGATGGTGTGTTGAATGCGAAGTACGAAAACGGCGAAAGAAATACTTGGCTTTTGGGTAAGCATCTCAGTTATTGAAAAACAAATATTTATTATACAAAGACGCGTTCAATTACAGGAGACGCTGGATACCCTTTGAAGCCCTACTTAATTACGCCATTCCGTTCTTCTACAGGCGTGCCAAGCTCTCCAATGCAGACAAAATTTAACGAAATACATTCAAAAACAAGGTTGATTATAGAAAGAACCGTTGGCGTCTTGAAGAGTGTGTTTCGTTGCACACTAGGCGCACGGCAGTTGCACTACAAGCCAGAGAAAGCAGCAAGGATTGTGAATGTGTGTTGTGCTTTGCACAATCTGAGAATTCAATTCAATGTACCAGTAGATGAACGAGACTTACTGCCAATGAATAATAATGAAATCGAGAATGCAACATTTAAAGAAGTAAATGACATGTCAGTAAACGATATTCGTCAAGAAATTATGAATTCCATTGTTTGATTTTTTGTGATTACAGCCATTACCGGCATTCAGCATAGTGTTTAATAATAAAAATAATAAAATGTAATTCGACTTTACCCATTTCATGAATCAATGACATCTTATTGGTTGTTAACTCTATAGGTTCAAACGTAGTAGCCAAAAATAATGTTTAATAGAAGATGTGATTTAAGAGAACTAAATGCAATGTAAATAAAGGAATTAGAAGCCAAATTAATCATTCAAGTTTTATTACGTTCAATCCGATTATTTCTTGCATTCTTCAATCATTATCCATTTACTCCTTCATTTCTTGGCGTTCAAGCAGTTTAAGCTTCCTTTGTTTGTATCTTAATAATTGCATCTTGTACTCAATTTCTTCCTGTCTTTGTTTTTCTTTTCGCAGCATATACGCTTCCTTCCTATTCACCTCGTCTTCCTTCAGCTAAAACATTTTTCGAGCGTATCGGGCACATTCGCTGGAGTTTTCAACCATTTTCTTCAAATACTTGGTCTGCTCAACCAGTAGTTCATGCTTCCTTTCTGTGTCGTCCTTCCTTTCTGCGGTGCGCCGCTTGCGGCTACTGTTTGGGATGTTATAGCTGCTGCTTTTTTTTTTTAACTCTTTATTTGTTCCAAATTCAAAATAAATTACATTTCATTTTAACCTAGGTGCTCCAGTTACTGCAGTAACGTACCTGCCTTAATTGTTATGATATATATCTAAGTGTTTTTACATTGTTCATGTCTTGGCAATTCAGTATTTTAAACAGGTTTTTTAACCTGCATGTCAGTATAACAATTGATATCTTAAAACTAAAAACTAAAACTAATCTTATCTAAGTATAAAGGGAATTAATCGTTGCAATTGAGGATTGCAACGACTTTTGCCTGAAATTATTAATTATTTTGTTGGACATTTGTGCTAAAGTCTCAACATTCGAAATTCTATGTACTTCGGTTGTACTGTACCAGGGAGGCAACTTCAAAATCATTTTCAGAATTTTGTTCTGAATCCTTTGAAGTGCTTTTTTCCTGGTAGTGCAGCAACTAGACCATATTGGCACAGCGTAAAGCATGGCCGGTCTAAAAACTTGTTTAAATATTAGAAGTTTATTCGTCAGGCAAAGTTTGGATTTCCTGTTTATAAGAGGATACAAACATTTTATATATTTGTTACATTTGGCTTGAATGCCCTCAATGTGATCTTTAAAAGTTAATTTTTGGTCAAGTATTAATCCAAGATATTTCACTTGGTTTGACCAGGAAATTGGAACTCCGTTCATAGTGACTATGTGACTACTACTAGGTTTCAAAAACGAAGCTCTAGGCTTATGTGGAAATATTATAAGTTGAGTTTTCGAAGCGTTGGGAGAAATTTTCCATTTTTGTAAATAAGAAGAGAAAATATCTAAACTTTTCTGCAGTCTGCTGCAAATAACACGAAGACTTCTTCCTTTAGCGGAAATGCCTGTGTCATCAGCGAACAAAGATTTGTGGCAACCCTGAGGCAAATCAGGGAGGTCCGAAGTGAAAATGTTATACAATATAGGCCCAAGAATGCTACCCTGAGGAACTCCTGCCCTAACAGGTAGTCGATTAGATTTGGAATTTTGATAATTTACTTGAAGAGTTCTGTCAGTTAAATAATTTTGAACTAATTTCATAATATAAAGTGGAAAATTAAACTTTTTCAATTTAGCAATCAAACCTTCATGCCAAACACTGTCGAATGCTTTTTCTATGTCTAGAAGAGCAACTCCAGTTGAGTGGCCTTCAGATTTGTTTGAACGAATTAAATTGTTAACTCTTAAGAGTTGATGAGTAGTTGAATGCCCATGGCGAAATCCAAACTGCTCATCTGCAAAAATTGAGTTCGTATTGATGTGAAGCATCATTCTATTCAAAATTATCTTTTCAAAAAGTTTACTTATTGAAGAAAGCAAACTTATTGGACGGTAGCTAGAAGCTTCAGCTGGATTTTTATCCGGCTTCAAAATTGGAACAACTTTTGCATTTTTCCATTTATCAGGAAAGTATGCCAAATGGAAACATCTGTTAAATAATTTTACCAAGAAAGACAAGGTACTCTCTGGGAGTTTTTTGATGAGGATATAGAAAATTCCATCATCACCTGGAGCTTTCATATTTTGAAATTTTTTAGTTATAGACCTTACTTCGTCCAAATCAGTCCCCCAGGAATCATCAAAAATATTTTCCCGAGAGAAAATATTCAGAAAATCCCGAGCAACCTGATTCTCAATAGGACTAGTAAGACCCAAACTGAAATTATGGGAACTCTCGAATTGCTTAGCAAGTTTCTGAGCTTTTTCCAAATTTGTGATCAAAATTTTACCACCTTCTTTAAGCGCTGGAATAGGCTTTTGAGGTTTTTTCAAAATTTTTGTGAGTTTCCAAAAGGGTTTGGAACTCGGGTCTAATTTAGAAATATTATTTTCAAAAGTTTTGTTCCTCAGGGCAGAGAATCGCTTTTTAATTTGTTTTTGCAAATCCCGCCAGATAACTTTCATGGCAGGATCGCGTGTTCTTTGATATTGTCTCCTACGGACATTTTTAAGACGGATCAAGAGCTGAAGATCATCGTCTATTATAATTGAATCGAATTTAACCTCGCATTTTGGTAATGAGGCAGCTCTTGCTTCAACTATAGAAGTAGTCAGAGATTCAAGAGCATAATTAATTTCATCTTTGGTTTGCAAACGAATGTTTGGATCGAAGTTATATTCCATAAATGTTCGATACTGCTCCCAATCAGCTCTATGGTAATTGAAAGTAGAGCTGTTGAGATTACAAATTATTTCTTGGGATATTTCAAAAGTTACTGGAAGGTGATCAGAACCGAAGTCAGCATGGGTAACCAATTGGCTACAAAGTTGACATGAATCAGTTAAGACCAAATCAATAGTGGAGGGATTTCTTGCAGAAGAAAAGCATGTTGGGCTGTTTGGATATTGAATAGTGTAATAACCTGCAGAACAATCATCAAACAGAATATTACCATTGGAATTGCTTTGAGCATTATTCCATGAGCGGTGTTTGGCATTAAAATCACCAATAATGAAGAATTTAGACCTATGACGGGTAAGTTTCTGGAGGTCACCCTTGAGAAAAATTTTTTTCTGGCCTACGCATTGGAATGGCAAATAGGCAGCTATAAACGTAAGTTGTCCAAATTTTGTTTCAACAGAAACTCCCAAAGTTTCAAAAACTTTGGTTTCAAATGAAGAAAGAATTTTATGCTTGATTCGTCTATGAATAATGATGGCAACGCCACCACAGGGTCCATCAAGACGATTATTTCTATAAATCAAGTAATTTGCGTCCTTCTTAACCTTATGGTCAGGTTTAAGGAACGTTTCAGTTATAACGGCAATATGCACGTTATGAACTCTCAAAAAGTTAAATAGCTCGTCTTCATTATCTTTAAGAGATCGAGCATTCCAATTTACAATATTTAATGCTTTAAAATCCATTACTGAATTTTAAAGTCATGACAATATTATTTGCAAATTTTACTCCAGTTTGAATAGCATCAAACATGGAGTTAGATTTAAGCATATCAGAAATCATGTCAATTAATGAATTCTGTAAAAATTCCATTTTGGGGGCAGTAATGCTAAGTCAAAATTGTCAAAATTTCCGTTAGAACGTTGGTTAGTATTTTGATTTCTACCCGCTGCAATAGCAGCATAGGTAGCTCCATTAACTCGCTGAACATTGTTAGCAGCGAGGGGAGTAGGTACAGATGAAACATTTGAAGCAGGGGAGATATTTGTACCTACGGGTACGAATGTAGAATTTGTTCCTCGCTGACCGTTGTTAACAGCAGAGGAATTTGTACCTGGTCGGAAACGTGGAGCGTTTCCTACCTGACGGTTAGAACGAGATTGTAGGATCGCTTTGCGAGTCTTCCATTCCCAAAAATTGGATTTGTGGTTTTCACCACAATTTGAACATTTAAATTTCTTAGGATCTTCCTTCACAGGACAGTCGTCCTTTGCGTGAGAGGAATCACCACAATTCATGCATTTAGCTGGCATGTAGCAATTTTTAGTTCCGTGACCCCATCCCTGGCACTTACGGCACTGGGTGAGGTTTTGGAAATTTCCTCCAGTCTTCCTGAAGTGTTCCCACTTCACTCGGACATGGAGCATAAGGCTAGCTTTTTCTAAGGCCTTAAGGTTGTTTAGTTCACTAGACTTGAAGTGAACTAAATAAAAATCATTAGAAATCCCGTTGCGCGAATCGCCAGGACGGGATTTCATTTTCATTTTGATTACTTGGAGTGGCACAACTCCAAGTAATTTTGCCAGTTCATCTTTGATCTGATCCAGGGATTCACCACTGGGCAGTCCTTTCATGACAACCTTGAACACACGTTCAGTTTTGGTGTCGTAAGTAAAAAATTTGTGCTTCTTCTCAGTAAGATACTTGAGAAGACATTTAAATCCGTCCAAGGTTTCAGCCAATACACGGCATTCACCCCGACGTCCAATTTGTAGTGAAAACTTAACTTTCACGAAATTCAAAAGTTCCATGCGAAGAGCATGGAAATCGGTAGTGGTTATCACAATAGGGGGAATCTTTTCCTTCTTGGCATTAAGCCGGGAAAGTTTACTAGAATTTTTCTTGGATGATGGATCATTCTCATCATCCGTGAGCAAATCAAATTGATTACTCAAATTAATTTCTTCAGAAGGGGGGTCAAGAGTTTGCCCCTTTCTTTTGCGTTTAGGCGCCATGGCGGCAGTAAATTTTTATCCAAATCGACTTCCAAGCAGATTACTATAAGAATCTGAAGGATCGAAGAGGAATTTTCCAAATCGATATCCAAGAAGGATTACCTCGGGTAGGGTCCAAACAAGGATCGAAGAGGAATAAGAGTTGAACAAGGTAGAAATTTTTTACAGGTTGAGCACTGAAAAGTGCTGTTTAAATTTGTTGTAGCTTTAGGTAGTAGTAACACTTCCTTCAGCAAAAAGCAAATAGATCCGCACGGCAAGAGAGCACGATGCGGACTGTTATAGCTGCTGCTGTTTCCAACTTCATTAGTGTGACTGTTGTTCCCGATGTTCTCAACATTTTCGGTCCCGACTTCATCATCTGCTTCATACTCATGCTCCAGGGTGGTTTCCCGCGGAGAAGACTCGCATTGGGGAAGACCAAACACAGAACCTATGAAATTAATCGGTTGAAGGTATTGGTTCGAATTCAAATGATACCAATACTCACCAGAGTGGTTAACCATCTGATCAAGGGACAAAAGATTAACTATCGTCTCTTCGTTTGGTGAAAGATTCACCATCTGGTTTGATCCACCGCCAGTAGCACTTGCCTCCCGCTTGTTGTGTTTTAGCTTGTTTTTAACCTTCAGCTTAAAATCTGTCCAAACCTGAAATAAACATTTGCATAAATTGATTTGGCTCTATAAACACCTCTTTTGGGGGGAATGGGTTGTCCAAAACACCGAGTGACATAACGCAATCAAAGTTTAACAAATTTCGCCAGTTTTATTATTATGATGACTTTCATACAACTAACTAAATCCGTTAACATTTGGCTGAGTTATGAAACTTAGGTGTTTCTTACAACACCCTTTTTTAATTACCACAATTACTTGGCTACTTACTTTTTGCCACCCTTGAACTGATCGAGTTGGAGGTCCAAGGCTGTTCAATCCGCTGCATAACTCGTTCCAAATATCCGCATACCGTTCCTTGCTTATGTGGAAAGCCTCGCTGTATTTCATCCCCTTGGCTACCGCTGAATTGGCCTCCATACGGGAAACAAGCAGATTGAACTGCTTGCAATTAGTTACGCGTACTCTGAAATACAAAATAAAACATTTTTTTAGTTGAGCAATTCAATTTTTGAGTTGAAAACATGCTTACCGCTTCACCTCCATTTTTTAGATTGAATTTGTCTGCGTTGTCGACTGCTTCAAGCATATCGACAATAGTCACGTGGAAACGTCCCCCCTTATTCTGCGAGTTACGTGACTCTCTGTCACCGGTGAGGTGACAATTGTCACCTCGCAGAATAAGGGGGATTACTTCTAAATTTGTCTAAATCAATTTTTTTTTGTTTCTTCGGCTTCCTCAATATGGGTATTTTTGGAATATGAGTGACGTGTAGGAATCGGAAACCCATGTCTGAGGCCATTTTAAAATTCAATATGGCGGCTTCCGGTTTGAGAAAAATTTGGAAATTCTGCCAAATACCCCACAAAACTGGTATTTTTGGAGTCGGGATGACGTGTAGGGACCGGAAATCGATGTCTGAGGTCAATCTGAAATTCAAGATGGTGGCTTCCGGTTGGAGAAAAACTTGAAAATTCTGTCAAATACCCCTCAATATGGGTATTTTTAGAATTGGGGTGACGTATAGGGTCCGGAAATAGATGTCTGACGCCATTTTGAATTCAAGATGGCGGCTTCCGGTCGGAGAAAAACTGGGAATTATTGCCAAATTACCCACAGTAGGAGTATTTTTGGAATCTTGGTGACGTGTAGGGTTCAGAAATCGATGTCTGAGGCCATTTTTAAATTCAAGATGGCGGCTTCCGGTGGGAGAAAAACTGGGAATTATTGCCAAATTACCCACAGTATGAGTATTTTTGGAGTCTTGGTAACGTGTAGGGTCCAGAAATCGATGTCTGAGGCCGTTTTGAAATTCAAGATGGTGGCTTCCGGTTGGAGAAAAACTTGAAAATTATGTCTAATACCCCTCAATATGGGTATTTTTGGAATTGGGGTGACGTATAGGGTCCGGAAATAGATGTCTGACGCCATTTTGAATTCAAGATGGCGGCTTCCGGTCAGAGAAAAACTGAGAATTATTGCCAAATTACCCACAGTAGGAGTATTTTTGGAATCTTGGTGACGTGTAGGGTTCGGAAATCGATGTCAGAGGCCATTTTGAAATTCAAGATGGCGGCTTCCGGTGGGAGAAAAACTGGGAATTATTGCCAAATTACCCACAGTAGGAGTATTTTTGGAATCTTGGTGACGTGTAGGGTTCGGAAATCGATGTCAGAGGCCATTTTGAAATTCAAGATGGCGGCTTCCGGTGGGAGAAAAACTGGGAATTATTGCCAAATTACCCACAGTATGAGTATTTTTGGAGTCTTGGTAACGTGTAGGGTCCAGAAATCGATGTCTGAGGCTGTTTTGAAATTCAAGATGGTGGCTTCCGGTTGGAGAAAAACTTGAAAATTCTGTCAAATATCCCTTAATATGGGTATTTTTGGAATTGGGGTGACGTGTAGGGACCGGAAATCGATGTCTGACGCCATTTTGAATTCAATTTGACGGCTTCCGGTGCGAGAAAAACTGGGAATTACTGCCAAATTACCCAAAGTGTGAGTATTTTTGGAATCTTGGTGACGTGTAGGGTCCAGAATCGATGTCTGAGGCCATTTCGAAATTCAAGCTGGTGGCTTCCGGTTCAAAAAAAACTTGGAAATTCTGTCAAATATCTCTCAATATGGGTACTTTCTAAATTGGGGTGACGTGTAGGGACCTGAAATTGATGTCTGACGCCATTTTGAATTCAATATGGCGGCTTCCGGTGCGAGAAAAACTGGGAATTACTACCAAATTACCCAAAGTATGAGTATTTTTGGAATCTTGGTGACGTGTAGGGTCCGGAAATAGATGTCTGAGGCCATTTTGAAATTCAAGATGGCGGCTTCCGATTTGAAAAAAACTTGTAAATTCTTAGTTGAAGATGCTAATTTCAAATAAAATACTGTAGTGGTAATTTTTATACGATAGATGGAGTAGATGAAAGCATAGAGTTGATAGTTCCGTTAGAGTACGGCAGTGTGAAGATTGCATATAGATGTTAGAACAGCGAGCTAGGACAACATTTATGGAAGGTACAAATCGGTTTTTTCATCTCTCTTTACCAAACTCCCCCTTTGGAGAGTGATGGTGAGGGGTGGTATGGTATATTATGGGTAATGGTATATGACACTCGGCGCTCCGGGCCTCGGATCGATAGTCGGTTTTTCAAGTGATATCTATACCCTTCTTTGTAAGAAGGGTAAAAAGGCATTAGTTTACGGTCCCTACACGTCACCAAGATTCCTAAAATACTCATAATGTGGTGTATTTGACAATATCCCAGTTTTATTTAAACGGAAGCCGTTATCTTGGATATCAAAATGGCGCCAGACATGGATTTCTGGTCGTCACTCCGATTCCAAAAATACCCCTAGATAAGGTGTATTTGACAAAATTTCCAATTTTTTCTCTAACTGGAAGCCGCCATCTTTAATTTTAAAATGGCCGCAGACATCGATTTTAGGTCCTTACACGTCAATCCGACTCTAAAAATACAAATATTGTGAGGTATTTGAGAGAATTTACAAGTTTTTCTCTTGCCGTAAGCAGCCATCTTGAATTTCAAAACGCCAGACATCGATGTTCGGTCCCTACACGTCATCAAGACTCCAAAAATACCCATAATGTGGATAATTTGGCAGTAGTTCCCAGCTTTTCTCTAACCGAAAGCTGGCATATGGAATTCAAAATGGTATCAGACATGGGTTTCCTGTCCTTACACTTCACTAAGATTCCAAAAATACACACATTGAAAGGAATTTGACTTAATTTTCAAGTTTTTCTCCAACCGGAATCCGCCATGGTTGATTTCACAATGGCCGCAGACATCGATTTCCGGCCCTTAGACGTAACCCCAACTCCAAAAATACCCATATGGTGCGATATTTGAGAAAATTTCTAAGTTTTTCTCTAACCGGAAGCCACCATCTTGAATTCAAAATGGCTTTAGATATCGATTTCCGGTCCCTACACGTCATTCCGATTCCAAAAATACCCATATTGTGGGTAATTTGGTAGTATTGCCCAGTTTTTCTCTAACCGGAAGCCGCCATATTGGATTTCAAAAAAGCGTTAGACATCGATTTCAGGTCCCTACACGTCACCCCGATTCCAAAAATACCCATACTGTGGGTAATTTGGCAGTATTGCCCAGTTTTTCTCTAACCGGAAGCCGCCATATTGGATTTCAAAAAAGCTTTAGACATCGATTTCCGGTCCCTACACGTCATCAAGACTCCAAAAATACTCATATTGAGAGGTATTTCACAGAATTTCCAGGTTTTTCTCGCACCGGAAGCCGCCATATTGAATTTCAAAATGGCCTCAGACATCGATTAAGGGTCCTTACACAGCACCCCATCTACAAAAATACCAATATGGTGAGGTATTTGACAGAATTTCTAAGTTTTTCTCTAACCGGAAGCCACCATCTTGAATTTCAAAATGGCCTCAGACATCGATGTCCGGTCCCTACACGTCATTCCGATTCCAAGAATACCCATATTGTGGGTAATTTGGTAGTATTTCCAAGTTTTTCTCTAACCGGAAGCCGCCATCTTGAATTTCAAAAATGCGTCAGACATGGTTTTTTGGTCCCTACACGTCACCAAGATTTCAAAAATACCCAATATTTTGTGTAATTTGGCAGTATTGCCCAGTTTTTTTCTAACCGGAAGCCGCCATATTGGATTTCAAAAAAGCGTTAGACATCGATTTCCGGTCCCTACACGTCACCCCGATTCCAAAAATACCCATATTGTGGGTAATTTCGCAGTATTGCCCAGTTTTTCTCTAACCGGAAGCCGCCATATTGGATTTCAAAAAAGCTTTAGACCTCGATTTCCGGTCCCTACACGTAACCCCGATTCCAAAAATACCCATATTGTGGGTAATTTCGCAGTATTGCCCAGTTTTTCTCTAACCGGAAGCCGCCATATTGGATTTCAAAAAAGTTTTAGACATCGATTTCCGGTCCCTACACGTCATCAAGACTCCAAAAATACTCATATTGAGAGGTATTTCACAGAATTTCCAAGTTTTTCTCGCACCGGAAGCCGCCATATTGAATTTCAAAATGGCCTCAGACATCGATTTAGGGTCCGTACACAGCACCCCGTCTCCAAAAATACCAATATGGTGAGGTATTTTGCAATATTTCCAAGTTTTTCTTTAACCGGAGGCCACCATCTGCAATTTCAAAACGGCCTCGTACATCGATGTCCGGTCCCTCCAAAAATACCAATATTGTGGGGTGTTTGACAGAATTTCCAAGTTTGTTTTTCCAAGCAGAAGCCGCCATCTTGAATGTCAAAATGCCGTCAGACATCGATATCCGGTACAACATTTCACCAAGATTCCAAAAATAACAAAATTGTGGGTAATTTGGCAGTAGTTCCCAGTTTTTCACTAACCGGAAGCTGCCATATGAGTTTCAGAAGGACGTCAGACATGGTTTTCCGGTCCCTACACGTCACCCGGATTCCAAAAATACCCATATTGAGGGGTACTTGACCGAATTTCCATGTTTTTCTTTAACCAGAAGCCGCCATCTTGAATGTCAAAATGCCGTCAGACATCGATTTCCGGTCCTCAAACGTCAATCTGACTCCAAAAATACCCATATTGTGGAGTATTTGACAGAATGTACAAGTTTTTCTCGTACCGGAAGCAGCCATATTGAATTTCAAAAAGGCTTCAGACATCGATATCCAGTCCCTACACGTCACCAAAATTCCAAAAATACCCATGTTGTTGGTTATTTTGCAGTACTTCCCAGCTTTTCTCTAACCGGAAGCCGCCATATTGAAATAAAAATAACGTCAGGCGTTGATTTCCGGTCCCCGTACGTCACCCAGATACCAAAAAATACCCATTTTGTGCGGTATTCGACAAAATTTTCCAAAAACTTTTTAGGAAATAAATCTCAAATAATGTTTTTTACGTCTATTTCGATTTACGAACCGCCGGTGTGGTTCGTAAATGGAGGAACCTGGAACCTAATTAAAAAAAAAAACCACGATTGGAAAAAAAAATCTTCGTCCGCAACCGAAAACAACAA